GGACACACTTTGTTTCCTTCTCTTCTATCGATCATCTGCCACATCATCTGCGCTCGAAGTCTCGTCGTGGACCACTTTTCTCTCGTCCTGCTTTCAACGATGTCTCTTCTCGGTGATGAGCAACTTCCTTCATCTTCAGGGAAGGTCACCTCCACGAGCGGATCTTCTCTTCCCTATTCCGCGTCAGGACCATTGTCCGCTCGTGAGCAGGCCGAGCCATACCGTCTGGTGACCGCGATCTTCCCCATCGATGTGTTGACGCCGGTCTGGAAACAAGGCCACAATCGATTGTTAAACATTCCGCATCGACAGCGACTCTGTCAGGCATTTCGTCGAGAGTTGCATCGCACCGACTCGAACAATGCTCTTCGGCTCGTCTGCACTCGATCAGAAATTGATCGTATGATCAGCGCGCTAAAGCACCACGGCGAGAGTCGTCTTGACTGGCGACAGCGGACGCCGCAGGCGTGGCCTTCATTTTTGGATTGGCGACGTGTGAATCCTGAGCCGGTTGAATTGATGGCCGGACACCACCGTGTAGAAGCACTCAAAGAGTACTTGAAAGATCAGAAGAACGCCGAGGGAGAGGGATGGTGGCTGTGTGATGTTTACGACCAAGGTGGGTCGAATCCCGATGGCTTCCAATTCATTGGCCTCAAGGTTCACGCTTAATTTCACGCCCACAGAGACTCTTCCATTGGAGCTTTCGATCCAACTACGAGCCAACCGAGAAGACTTGAGCTTACCAGACACCCACGGCCAAATCTGGACCGAATTGACGCTGCTCGCGCAACAAGATGCGAACTGGCATCTCAGTCCCGACCCTGTCGCCGCCACAGCCCATACCCCGAAGACCACTAAAGGGACGGCGAGAGGCATGGAGACCCAATTGACCCTGAAACTGGGATTGACCGGGAAAACCACCTTCCCCGTGCGCCGACTCGGCACCCTGTGGCGGAATGTCGCTTGGCGAAACATGATTAGCGAGTGGTGCCAATTTCCCCTCGGACGGGCGACCTTCAACATCACCACCTGGGAGTGGATGTCCAGTTGCCGCATCGACGATGTAGGTGGAAATTTCCGTTCTCGCCCCGAGCATGATGTTGCTATGTGGCCCCCACTAATTCTTCCTCGAGTGGGACAGTACTGGTTCTCGACGTTTTCCCGAGTGCTTCAGACCCTGCGACAGCTCCGGCATGAACATCACGTCGAAGTGCAATCCTCCGACTGGATGCGATTGTCTCAACTGCCCGCGAAGCGGCAAGGTCAAGATGTCCAAGATCTGTTCTTCCCGGGCCTTCAGGAGCAGCACGAATCAGACATCTCGCGCCTTCGCGTGAAAGGCTTTTTCGTCGATCTCGAT